AAGGCAGCAGTTCACCCAGAAACGAAAATGATCAAAAGAGTCAAAAATAGGTCGAGCCAAAGAAGAGCCACTTATAAAGAAATGGAGTAATCCAGAGGAGTGGTCATAAAGGCATGGATTACAGTCTCAAATGTTGAGAGAAACGAGTTTACTGTGCTAAAGCACTAGTAAAGTTGCACTAATATCCCCAAAAACCATAACGTCTGTCTCTTTCCATTGATGCTTACATTTTTTGAGACATCCAGGCCTTAATGTCACCGACAGACTCGTTCTTTTCCTCTGGGAGATCGATGTGAGTATCATCCGCATATAAATGGAAAGACATGCCATATTTCCTAATTATTAAAAGGGAGTAAATAAAGAGAAAAAAGCAGAGGTCCTAAAACAGAGCCCTGTGGGACCCCATAACCGAGGGGCAGGGGAGGACACACATTTGCCAATGTTGACACCAAACGTCCGACCTACCATGTGGGACCTGAACCACTCAAGCACTGCCTCTTTACAGTGTGTTTGTGACCTGTATCTCAGGGATGGAGCTTGAGGTTTACTTGTGAAAGATGATGCCGTAATAGCCAAGCTTCATGTCTTGTTAGCTGTTTTTCTTAATGGTCACTCTTGTGTTTGTCAGTGGATCCGTCTCAGGTTAGCCGGGGATTGGCTGTGATCTCCGTGTTGGACATTAATGATAACGCTCCAGAGTTTGCCATGCAGTACGAGACGCTCTTATGTGAGAATGCTGCATCTGCACAGGTACATGCTCTCATCAGCATGCTCTCATCAGCTGAACCACCATGCTCTCATCAGCCTGTAGTGTTCTCCACTTCAGTGTGACTCCATGGGTTCATAAATCTGATTTCTATTAATAATTGTTGTGTGGTTTTGTTGTCCGCACATTCAACAATGTAAAGTATTTAACAAGAATATTTCATGCACTCAAATCAGGGATGTGTTATTTTAGCGTTCCTTTATTTTTTGAGCAGTGCATATAATATATACATCTCTCCCTTAAAAACAGCACAATGTACTTGTCATTTAAGCTTTGCATGATTTTATCAACTAATTTATTAATTAATAGTAAATAATAAATCTCTTACTCTGTGTTTGAATGATGTCCCGAAATCTGAAAAGTACTGAAAGCAGACGGTTATATAAAGCAACACGGGTCATATTATACACACCTGTAACCCAAATAGACCAACACTTGCAGATAAAGTTCATTATTTAGCTGAGAGTAAGTGAATAAGATCGTCAGAGCACTGTGGATCTGTTTTTCAGATCAGAACTCAGAGCTGTTTCCACAAGTCAATGTAACACACACAGGCCTGTGTGAAAATCAGATGAGTCCTGTAGGCTAAACCCACAGAGTATTTGTGTTGAGTATACACATCTTAAATCACTATATACATCTACCAAAGCGTTATGCTCAATAACACACGTTCAGTCTGTTGATGGAAAAGTGACCCTCATATGAGAGACTCGTGTAGTTCTGCAGTCACTGAATCACTACATCAAGAGACAATCTGATTACCAACACCCTAACATAGAAATGACATGATGCATCCCATCATCTGTGAATTTAAAGTATGAACTCAGTTTCATCGCTCTCTGAAATAAACACGAGTCCTTTACCTCTTCTGCAGGTTATTCAGACCATCAGTGCTGTGGATATTGATGATCCTCCTGGCAGCCATTGCTTCCGTTTCTCTCTCGACTTCTCTGCTGGCAATAATAGCAACTTCACCCTGCGAGATAATAACAGTACGCTCTGAGAACTACTGCCTCTGTTTCAGTGACGCAGCGCTGAAGACTCTCTGTTTCACTGATGTTGTCCTTCTCTCTGCCCTCTGCCAGATAACACCGCTTCACTGTTGACCCGGCGCTCTGGTTTCCGGCGGGTGGATCAGCCGCTGTACCTGCTGCCGGTGCTGATGGTGGACAGTGGTCATCCGGCACTGAGCAGCACACACACTCTGCCTGTGCACGTGT